TCCAGGATTAGAAAATGTCGACTCTAAAGACGATTCACACCTGAGAGACATCATACAGAAACTGAATGAAGATATGGATCTCCTGGTCTTTTGTTTGAAGATGACTGAAGGACGCTTCTACATAGACGACAAAAAGGTCATGAAAAAGCTAACGGAAGCTTTCGGAAAGGAACTGTGGGAGCACACTGTCATAGCTCTCACCTTCGCTAATAGAGTGCAAGATCCACGTGAGGGGGACGAAAACGTTTATTTCAAGGAAGAGCTTGGACTTTGGCAAGAAGCAATCGATTCGTTTCTCAAAGACGAGCTGAAGATTGGCCCCGAAATCATCCAATCCCTGCGTATACTGCCCACTGGATATCATACCAGCAAGAGTCGTAAACTTGCCAACTGTGCAGACTGGCTACCTACATTCTGGATGGCTTGTTTCGACGCTTCAAAAAACAAAGGGGTCATCAACTTGCTTAAGATGAACAAGCGCCGATTAATATACAAGAGGAGGAAACCCTCTGATGGAATCAACGAAGGCGGAGAAGATCCTACACCCCCTATTGGAGGTTACATCCCGATAAACGAAGATCAAGAGCAGTCAGTTTTTAAAAGGGTATGGGATATATTGAAGCCAATCCTGGGAGTTGTAGCTAACATCGTTTTAGGTCCTTTTGTCGGTCAAATGATACGATGGTTGCTCGGATGAAAAGAATAAACCGGTAGTGCCAAAGGAAAACTAGGTCAGTCAGATTAAATAAACTTATCAGTGACTAGAATTTAGCAGTGAAGTAAGAATGATATTGTGAAGGCAATTCATGGAACATCACTGAATTGTCGGGTTATTTTGAATGATGTTGTTACTCTTTGTTTTGGGTTTTTTCTTCTTCATCATCTTCTGTAAAACGCTAAAGAAAAGAAATGCAAAACTCAGCATTAATATTTCACTCTTTAGATTTAATAGGTGAGAACAGTGCAAAGTGTCAGTGCATTGATGGAAGAATAAAGTACAATTTAAACCTACTAGTATTTACTAGAAATAACTGCTACTGATTTATCCAAACTTTGCGACTACCACCAATCAACAATACCAATTACATCTTTGACAAAATCTG